TCTGTTATACTCCTATATAAACAAATTAACATAATTCATCCTAGAACTCACTTTTTTGTTTTCTGTTTTGTAGCTGCCTTGATCATTAATTGGTGATCTCTTGTATTGAAATTTCCTGGTTTTTTGAGTTTCTGAAAAAAGAGAAAATGTTAATGCATTTATATGTGTGAGTATGTGCACGCTCTTCACTGATATTCCATTCTCATTTATGTTCTCCCTCATTCATATGTAAATGCTTTGTTGTATCTTGTCTTCTACCCATTGGTCATAAATATAGTATCTATGTTTTTTTTTTTATCTTATTCTTGAATACCCACGCTGATTGGGAGATCATTTGTTGTTTCAAGGTTGAAGGTGGTCTGCATATTCATGAACTTGTCAATTTAATATATTCTCAGTTGAAGTTGCAGAAGGGTTGCAGTGAATTTGTGGAGATTTTTGTATGGTAAATTATGATTGCAAACCCCTTGAAAATCTACTTTTCCCTGGTATTTATATGATCGTATCTCAGTGTTGTCCTCAACTCTAATCACTTTCAGTTGGACTTGAGTTAACGTTATTCTTACGAAATTTGTGGGTTTGATTTTGGGTGCAGGCTGCAACTAATGATCAGATTCAAGTTATTGAGATGATTAAGCTTTTGGAAACAAAGGGTTCGAAGACTTTTTAAAGTTTGGTTCCAACATTTGTACAAAATTCTATTAAATATCAGTTATGCAATTTTATAGTTGTATTCTTATATTTTAATGATATAACAATTTGTTTTCTTACCAAAAATAGAAAAAGAAATATGATACTCCAATTTGAGTGCCCACACAGGGCATCCTTTTTTTAAATATTATTTTGCAACTTTGCCACCGATGTAAATTAGGGTGGCACTGCAAGAAAGGCACCAATGCAATATTGGTAGCTATTGTTACAATAGAGTTCTCTACATAGGCCACACTCTCTAGTTTAGTGGGTGCTTGGTGGCCATAGAGGTTTGCCACCAATGTGAGTGGCAACACTTGACAATAGCCACCAATGAAAAGGGTGGCTTATAGCCAATTTCTAGTAGTGGAAGTTGCTTGAAAGGAAGCGTGAGTTTACTTTGCCGTTACAAAGCAAACGAGTTTTCTATAAGAACCTGTCTCATCACAAAGTTTTAAGAGCGACACAAACAGCATCAAGAGACGAGGTAAGCTCTGAACTTGAATTAATTTGTGAAATTTCATCTTGGGGTTGTTGGAAAACATAGAAGAAAAATGATGTGGTTGGAGTAATTTTTTTTCTTGAAATATTTGAAGTCTTGTAGGTGGTCTTCGTTTCTTTTAACTTTGAAATTGAAGCTGAAAAGAGATGTGAAATTTGATGCAGATACATTTCAGTTGATCAACCTTTGGATTTACAAGTTATTGTTGAGGTGAGTAAAGCAGCATCTGTTCTCTCTCTCTCTCTCTCTCTCTCTCTCTCTCTCTCTGTGTTTATTTTTGCTTGTCAAATACATTTGGGGTTCATTTTATGAAATGCAGTAGATTTGATCAAAAGTTAAAAAGTTCTTGTATTTTGTAATTCCTTCAATAACCAAATCTGCGTGTTAGATTTTTAATTATCTTCTTTGGTAAAGCACAATCTACATGCAATCAGAGTTTGAAGAGGGAAATTTTGGGCAGGGAAAAACATACTTAGATTTATGAGGTTGCATACATTGCAGGGTTATCTTTCCAGCTTAAATGGCAGATGCCCTTTGTTATTCCTTATCAAAAATTAACATCACAATTGTCCCGATCCAAAACCTTAAGTTTTATCTGACTTAGAAGTAGGAAAAGTCCAGTTTCAGCTTGTTCGAAATTCTTATACAAGTATCACATAAGTTGGATAGAAATACTTTCTTAATTAGCTTATTTTATCTAAAGTAGCTATATGTATGAACATAAGGTGGATGATCCAGAGGTTGATTTCTTTCAACGGATTCTTGATTCGAATATACTGTTTGAGTGCCGTCAATTTAGTTGTTGAATGGCCAGAGGTGGATGATCCAGAGGTTGATAGGTTTAGGAAAGAATCAAACTTTCAATTTAGTTGTTGAATGGCCACAAAGATGCAGATATTTTCCAACAGAGAGTTTCGGACATTAATACGGCATCTTATATGTTGATGTTGTTACCAAATTCCAACTCTATCTTGATTTGTTTAGAATGTTCTCGAAGGTTTGTTGACAATGATAGTATCGTTGGCAACTTATATGTTACAATTTTTTACGAATAGCTACATACATGGCGTCACAGTGTGAAATCTGTGGTTTGGTTCTATTTATTGTAACAACCTGTCCCGGGATTTACGTAAGAAAATAGGTATTTTTGTATTTTCACTAAGTTTGGGGGGTACCTTCCTTTTTAAAATTGTTTTTGAACCTTATTTGGTGAGCCCAAGGGGCCCACCCCCTGTCTTGTGTCCCAGTTCCCTTTCCCTTTCTTTTGTTTTTTTTTTTCTAAAAAGTCTCTCTTCTCTCTTCTCTCTTTCTTCCTCTGATTTCTCCATCCCTCCCCTCTCGGTGCTCCTTCCTCCGACAAGAACACACACACACACACACACATACACACCCATGCCCACACCTATAGCTCTTTTCTAACCCCGTGGTTGTGTTTGGGACGTCAAACCATGAAGAAACCACCTCGGAGACTTTTCCCAGTTTTTCGGCGAGCACCGCCCCTTTCGAGGCGATTTCCGGCCAAACCACGGCGAGTTGGCCAGCGTGCAAGGTATCAATCTTTTTGTCTCGCTGAGTACTACAACTTTCCTTTTTGTTTCACCCAATTTCATTGAGTATTGAAGAAGTTATACTCATTTGAATCTTACCCAGTTCCGGCGGACACCCGTGGCTTCCAGGCTGTTTTCCGGCCAACTCCGACCACGATGACGGGAACCAAGGGTATATTTCGATTCCTTACCTTCGGGGCTTCAATTTGGTATATTGAATGACATGTTTTGGTTGAGTTTTGAGCTCCAAAGGAGCTTGGGAATTTTCCGGCCGAGCTCCGGTGTTCTTCTCCGGGCACCCAGGCCTTCGGGCCGTTCTCCACACACACACACGGGCCTTAGGCCCGTTTGGTCTCTGGCCCAATACCCTCACCCTTTCCTTTTTTATTTTTAGTTATTTCATTTTAAAAACCCAAAAGGCCTTAGGGCCTTGGTTGCAGCCCAAACCCATTTCCCCTTTTAAATTAGGCCTTGGGCCATGAGGTTTCAAACCCAAACCCACTTTCCTTCTAACCCAAACCCAACCCACCTAAAACCTAACCCAATTACCCTAACCCCAAAACCCTAAAGCCCAAACCCGTGACCCGTTGACTGGGTCAACGGTCAGCGTTGACCTTTGACTTTGACCTTGACCGGTCAACGGTCAACGTTGACTTTGATCGTTGACTTTTTGAGTTTTCGTGCGAGACCCCTCCTAGGCTAATTTCGACGTTCTGAACCCGTTTCCGATGTCCGTTTTCCCAAATTCATTCGTTTGAGTAGAGTTTGACTAAACGTACCATTTATGTGTTTAGGGGCGTTTAATTGTGGCGGTTCCGTCTTCGCTAGTTGCGTGGCTCTTCGGCGGCGAAGTACTGTGAGTGGACCCCTTCTAAAAATGCATGTTTTAATGGTAGAATTGCATACATAGAAAAGCATGACTTTACGATTATGTTTATGAAACGTTTGAGATAACATGCTTACTGAGGCTAGTTTGAATTATTACTATTTTTCCTATAACCCATGTTCTTATAGCATATCTGATGGATGACGATATGATATTTAGAACATGTTTAGAACACCTCTTTATAGTATAGATGATGGATGACTTTATACTATGAAGTTGATTTTCAATATATGTATGTTCACTGGTTTTGTACTTACCTAGTGGTCCTTTCCGCTACGGGACGTAGGGATAGATCCGGTCCGTCCCGGGCGACGGTTTGGTGTTGGCATAGGGCCTGGGGTGTGTTTTCCTCTGACTGTGTGCTCAGAGACGGGGAGCCGGCAAGGGGCCTGAAGTGCATTTTCCTCTGACTGTGTGCTCAGAGACGGGGAGCCGGCATGGGGCCTGAAGTGTTATATCGGACATTCACTAGTGATTATTATTTTATGCGAATGATGATTTGAGACATTGCACGACATGCTAGGTTTCGGAAAACCTATGTTTATCATTATATATGTGTTTTCATAAAACCTGGGGGTTAGTACTTTGATAACTGTTTTATTATATATATATCAACTTGGTCCACTCATGTTTGTTTTGCGCCCCCTTCAGGACTTAGAATCGAGGCATACAATCCCGACGTCCAGGCACTTCTGCATCGGCATCTTCGAGTCCTTTCGGTGTAGGACCCACTCCTTTGTTTTATTCAATTTTATATTATTTTCTTTTAGTGTTCTAGATTAGAGGTGTGCTCTGAACATGGTCCTTATTTGCATATTCATTATTCTTTTATATTTATAAGCCTTATTTATCACTTGTTTTCAGCATTTGCACTCAATAAATGGCTTTCGTCACCTTCGGGTGTCGGCCAGCACGTGCCTATCCTGGTATTTGGGGAATATCGGGGTCGGGGCGTGTCATTTATAATCTTATTTTTGTTCTTCAAAGAAAAGAGAAAGTGATCAGAAAACTCTCCTGAATCATGTGTATGCTTACTGCACTTTCTTGTACTTGGATTAATGGTTGACCTTATGATAGTTGGCATTTTAGAGACGTCATTTGTAATAATACTGAATGAAATAGTCCACAAACTCGTGTTTGACAGTTTCCCTAACTGTTCCGAAAGATACTATGTGCTTTTTAAAGTCAATTGTAAGAATACTGAATGTCGTTATGTGTAACGTATAACATAAACTACTAGGGCTTTGAGTGAAACTTGTTTGCTTTAAATGGTTAGCGAACTTTATTTGCTTTTTAAAGTCATCAATATCGGTCTGAGCATTCATCTGCATTTCAAGTACAATCCCTTAAAGCATGTTTTGTCTGTTTAGCTTAGTGAACCTTTAAGTTAAGAGTTATTTCTTCTCCAAACCTCTGCTTCGACTACAACTTCTAGATTTTTCCTTTTCTGTTCACTTCTCTCTCTCAAATCTCTGCTTCCGTTGCACTCGAACTCCTTCTGTCGCTCTCAAACGCCGGCTAAGGTATCGACCACCCCTTCTCTATCTTCTTCTTTCGCTTCTCCTGTGCAAATCTCAGCATAAAATTAGTTTTCATGTGTCCTTAAACGCTTATCTTTCTCCTCTCTCTAAAATCCATCTGATAAAATGTTTAGTTGGTATTGTTTCTCTCTGCAGGTTACTCGGAGAAGTCTGTGTAGGGGCAATAGAACAAGGTGGATTGCATTTCAAAGTGCAAAAAATGCAGGGCATGCCTCTCTATGCGTTTCCAATCTTCCAAAAATCGTGTTCGTGGAGGCGATGTGAGATGTATTTGAAGCTCGGCCACAGATATTATTCAAAATTTCAAATTGGTGGATTTGGGTAAGAAACTAAGAAACCCTAATATTTTATTTTGGTTTTAAGAGAACCATCATAAAATCCCTCCGAAGTGTTTGTGATTCCAAATCTAATCAACTTTTCTTAAACTCATCCCTTCCCCATGTAGCAAATGACAACTCTAAAATATTCCAATTAATTAATTAATTAATTATCATAAGCTTTTTTTAAGAGTACTACTTCCATATATCTTTTGTTGCAATGGATTTGAATTTTCCTGGGCTTGGATTCTTGAAGTATTCCTTATTGTTCGCTGCTAAACAACTGCCTTTCGTTTGCTATCTCGCATGGTGTTTACAACTTACTGCAAAACTGAGTTCTCTTGATATTTGTTGTTGTTTTAAAAGGCATAATTTACTGCAACTAAATTGTTTGGTGGGAGCTTTAAATGACTTATTTCGATCACTACACTCTTTTGGATTGATCATGGGAGATAAGGGTTTATAATAGCAAATGTGAAGTGTTGTTTGTAATAGCAGTGTATCTCATTTCATGTTGCATGTGACATGTTAAAATACAGTAATTTTATTCTTAGTCTTACTGTTAAAAGTTGTTTCATTGGTGTATTTACACCTTTTTTAGTTGTGGATCAGCAGCTCCAACTCAAGATATAGATAAAAGAATACAAGCTCTTGAAAAAAGGTATAATTTATTAACCCTTTTGGCAGGTTAGGAATATGTACCCCTTTCCTTGCTTCAGTATGACTAGAGAAATTGTTTGGCAAGTTAGGAATATGTACCCTTTTCCTTGGGGTTTTCAGTGGTGTTTTTAATAGAATTACATATTTGAGTGATGAGTTTTTTCAATGGTGTTAATTTTTTAACAATTTATGATGCTATTTGTAAAATTTAGTCAGAATTTTTATTAACAACTATTATATCGTTTTTTATTCCAATTCGTAATTACTTCTTTTGTTAAATTTAAGCTTGATTATTTTAGTAAAATTTTATAACCTATGTCCAAATACATATACAACACTGTATATGTATAGTTTTCATAATGTTGTTGAGCATTTTGAGTATGCATTTTTTGTGTAAAGAGTGAAGAATATATTGTTCACAATGGCAAAACAGGGAACAACTACTACTTCATATGGGAAGAAGAGGTTAGTTTAATTGTAATTTTTATTTTATTTGGTTAACTTGGAAGTTGGTTGGCTTGCATCTAATTCGATCATTTGATGGCACTGGTTGAAGTCATTGGTTTTATTAATGCTGGTGACTGAAATCAATCCAAGTTAATGTTAAAACGATATCATTATTTTTGTTATGGTGAGGACTGAGAACTTATAACCTTTTCTTTGTATCTCTCATTTTTAAAATTACGAAATTTACTTTTTTATACCTGTTTTGTGATCATTTACTGAGAATTTGTTAATTGTTTTAATATGTATGTGTTAGGATTTCTACGTTCATTTCTCATCTTTAGAGATTGTTGGATTTCTACATTCATTTCTCATCTTTAGAGATAGCCAGATTTCATATTGTCGAATAGTTTATGTATTTTTCATATTAAGTGCGTCAATAGGTTGTTGCAGTAATTCAATTAGATATGATATAAGTTGATGTGTTTATACCTTTAAACATAATTTTTCACACAATTTGTAATCTCGCAACAACTCGCGGGCATAACATTCTAGTTATATATACTAAAGTGCAATGGAAAAAACACTGTTCCTAAGCACAATATAAAGGTGTAAATGCCCCTCTTTTTGCAGCTCTTACAGTCCACTTTATTTGACAGCACAGTAAAATTCCGTTAATACCCCTGTCTCTTCATCCACACATTGGGGAGCTTTTCCTTTGATCCACAGGCTTTACTGTTCCCAAGTCTGGATGCTTCCACATGCACCTCTTCTTTTCTCGCTGTTTCGTTTGCCCTCCACCACTTAGTTCTTGCTTTAGTCCGAAACAGACACGTCCATACATTTTCCTTCTTGCTGTAGTTAAGCTTTCCTCCTCCACCGCTTAGTTCTTGCTTCAGTCCGAATCAATTTTTTACCACACAACCGCTACCAGTTTCTTCGACAGTAATAGTATTTTCATAGTTATCCTATCTTGAAATTTTATGATCTAATTCGACATTTTAGGTATGAAATTGAGAAGATTTGAAAAACGTTTGTGTTTGAGAAAAGAAATCGACTAACGGAAAGGGAAAAAAGGTATGAAATTGAGAAGATTTGAAAAACGTTTATGTTTGAGAAAGAGGCTGCAAAGAAATCGACTAACGGAAAGGGAAAAAAAAAAAAAAAAGCATTGATCATAAAAAGTGATAACAATATGTCGCGTAGCACTAGTAAAAAAACATTTTGCGCGACGTAGGTTCTTCGTCGCGCAAAGTCAAAAAACGTCGCGCAAAACTTAGCTCAACGCACCTTCGTCATGCACTAACCGTCGCGACAAGGCAGTGACAGAAGGGGTTTGCGCGACGAAGATTCTACCTACGTTGCGCAAAGTGGCTTCGTGTGACGTAGGGGGATGCGTCGCGCAAAATGGCTTTGCGCGACGTAGTGATGCGTCGCGCAAAGCCACTTTGCACGACGCAGGGGCATGCGTCGCGTAAAGATATTTGCGCAACGAAGATTCTACCTACGTCGCGCTAACCTTTGCGCGACGAAGATTCTACCTATGTCGCGCTAACCTCTTTGCGCGACGCATGTGCCTACGTCGCGCAAAGTGGATTTGCGCGACATAGAGGCATGCATCGCACAAAGCCACTTTGCGTGACATAGGGTCGTGCGTCGCGCGACGTAGATTCTACCTACGTCGCGCAAAGGGCTTTGCGCGATGTATCCCCCTACGTCGTGCAAACCTCTTTTTTTTTGTTTTGGTCAAAAAAATTATTTTTTTAATTTTTAATAAATATCTTGATTAAACTCTAAACAATAATTAATTAACCAAGGAAAAGTATTTAGTTATAAATATATGAAAATATACATACAAAATGTCCAAACTACTAGGTATCAAGCTACTAGGAAAATATACAAACAAAAAAATGAAAAAACTACAAGTAGTCTTTTAGGTTTGATACATCAAGCTACTAGGTATTGGTAGGGCAAAGTGGCTCAGAGGTCGAAGGTGTAGGAAGATCAGGTACTGGTAGCGAGATTTGGAGGTCGGACATCTGTATGGCTCGTACAAGGTCTCTCATGTGTCCGACATAGGCCTTCACCTGCTCGCCCTGGGCCCTCATCTGCTCGTCCCGAGCCCTCATCTGCTCGCTCTGGACCGCAAGCTGACCCTTTAGGGTTGTCACTTCCTCCTTCAATGCACTGACCTCTCCTGTGTTCGATCTGGAAGAAGAGGCACCCATCTCACGAACTCACGCTTTCCCCATACATCGAGCAACTTTGCCAGGACGACGACCGAAGTTTTGATCCATGACATTAGTCAGGATCTGAAAACCTGCATCCTCGGGTATCGTGACGTCCTCGATCGAGGTCTCCGGGGGAAGTTGTGATGTTGTGCGCTGTTCCACCATAGCATCCTGTAATAATAAAGGAAAAAACATATAATGTTTAATAACATAATATAAATAATATTTGAACGATTCATACATATAAGAATAATAACAATTACATATACTTACATAAAGCTGTTTAGCTATCTCATCACCAGGTCGAACGTAAACGTCCTCGAACATGTTGATCTCTGGGAACTTAGAACCCTCCTGAAGAAACAAACATTAAGAAAATTTTATTACTCAACAATAATAAATAAATTGTATAAAATTTCAAAATTAATATACTTTTACCTGACGTCATGTCTCAAGCCTATACGAAAAGGCTTCGAACTAGAATGATGGAGAAGTGTCATTGAGTCCCGAGCTATCTTGCCAGCAATAGATTTCTTCTGTTAAACACACAATATACAAGTTAGTGTGATTATTTAAAATAAATTAATAAAGGAAGCTTAAAAAAAATAACTAAAACAATAATAAATTATTATTAAAATATTATGTACATACCACAAATTTTGGGTCCGTAAAATGTTTGCAGAGCCACTCCCAATCCTCTGGCCGGTCCTGCAACTCGGTTGGGCAAACATGTAGGCGAGCAAACTCCGGATCATCCCATAGCTTAAAATGCGTGTGAAGATAGTTCTTCCAATGTTTGTACCGACTTGCTAAGGTCTCCTCTAAGTAGGCCATGACCTCAGGGGATATGTTGTCAAGATCAAAATTGACCTACGAATATGAAAAATAATAAAATAATAGTAAGAAATTTAATAATATTAAGATAATATATTTTTGGTTTTTAATATTTGTAAAAAAAAAATTGAAAAAATGATAAAGGCTAAAAATTAATATACTAACCAACAAGTTTTCTCGCACTAGTTTCTTTGTCCCCTCAGGAATTTTTGCCCAAGACTCCCACTGCATAAGACAATTTTGTTTAATAACAACACCACAACTACTAGCGACGCTGTTATGCTGCTGTGAGGTAGCCGCTCCACGATGTCGTGGGTCATACTCAATCTTGATCCTGGAGCCGGTTAGACGTACACTCTGTGCCTCCTTCAACATTCGACTAGGCCCCTTGGTGTTTTTTTTAGCTGGCCAAAAATAATTGAATGGTGAAATCCCTAAGCTTAAATTTGTACAGAAAATTTGACATAACCTCCCCTAATAGTATAGCATTTCCCAAAACCTTAAAACAGTAATTCACAACCCCCATCACATTTTCACATTCCAGCAAATTTTCACCATCATAAAAATAATAATTTTAAAATGATAAAAGAAAAATACAACGTAGTGATCGAGAATTAGAAAAAACTACCTGGTTGGGAGGCCTCACCCTCGACTCTGGATGCCGAAGAAGTGTGATCAGAAGGCTCTGGCTCGCAGCGGCGTCGGTGAGGTCGTCGTGCACTAAGCGGCTGAACCGACACTGATGATGTCGATGAGACGGGCACCTGGGACGCCATAGGAGTAGCCTCAGTAAGGGGTGTAGGCTCCCCAATCAATGGAGCACTCACACTTGGAGCAATAGATGTTGATAATGTAGGAGGCTCATTGGTCACACTCCGACGACGAGTGATCAACCACGACATCTATACACTTTTTGAACCATAAAATTATAACATTAGAAACTAATCCTTTCTTGCATTTGAAACTAATCAATTAGTAGCCAAAGTAGTAAGTAAGTAGGTTACCAACATTCTTAATTTCAAAACATGAGGAAACTACCTATCCATTTTCATAGCCAACAAAAAAAAAAGGGTAATCTGACACTAGGATTACCAAACATTGTAATCAATCAAAGGTATCAAAACTTCATTAGACTAATTGATATGATCAAAGTACCGTACAAAAAGAATTTACTTCATACAAGCCATTCAACCAGATACATGCCACAACAAATGAATTAAAATGCAGGTGTACCCACGTCGTGCAAAGTGCTTTTTTTTTTTCTTTTTTTTTTTTTTCCTTTTGCTTTTCTTTTGTCCTTTTGTTTATGAGTACAAGATAAATAAATTAAAATCTACTTTCTAAATATATATATACCATTGAACTTGATGGGAAACGCATTCTATGAAACTAGTTTCAACGATCAAACCGTCAAACTTGTTTGTATATACTTTGAGATCACATACGCCAAAAATCGAAATAACAAACATTCAGATATCAAGTAATGGGACAAACGTTTTCAACGGCTATAAACAAAAAATTACGATTTAACGGTTATTTTAAGTGTTTTTGTAAGTATTTTATGTTCGATAAATCGTATGAATTTTAGTCTTAATTTGTTGAACTTTAGATTAATACATTTGTTTTCAATTGTGCAAATTTTGCATCTTGTGTAGGTACAACGAGATGTTGAAGAGCTACTTTCTGAAGCTTATCGCGCATTAAGTGATTCATTAAATGTGAGTGATGAGCATCCATCATTCATTGACAACCTGAGTGAGAATTCAGTAAGCTTTACACCTATGTTTGGTTATGTTTGGTATGTGGGAAAGAGAACCTGAGAATGAGAAAGTGTTGCCTTTCACATGTTTGGTAAGTCCCAATTTAGGGAAATTGTTTCCTAACCCGTGAAAAACTTACCTATGTGTTTTGACCTAAATTTGTCATCCTCGTTCGAGTCAAGTGAACGTGCGTTCGAGTTTGAGTGAGTGTCGCGTTCATTTCGAATGAGAGCGCAACAAGTTTAAGCTGAGTGACAACACATCGCGTTCGAGTCAGATAGGATAAGTTCATTTTTTTACCGTTTGTGGTCCAAAGGAGATTTACAAAGTTAGCAAAATTAGTAGTTGTGATGAAGCACGAATAAAGATTTCATTAAAATCCT